AAAATTGAACCGAACCAAAATGCACAAAATTTTCAGTTCGGTTTGGTTCGGTTCGTATCTTGGTTCGGTTTTTCGATTCGGTTCTGACACCCCTAGTGGCAAGTACATGGCCCAGATTTATTATGAGAAACTCATACACGTTATAAGTCGTCATTTTCATAAAATATACTTTCTAATCACGTTGAAATATTTTTATAATTAGACAAAATGATGCAAAAAAAATCGCCATTGTTTATGATCATACAATGGGAATCACTAACCCGCTGAAATTAATCAGGTCCAACTAGATGGATTTATTTTGGGGTTTTTAGTGGTACTAACTCATATTTTTCATGATACCCATTTGAAAGAGATAATTAAATGTACGGAGATAATATGATGTCCATTTGATGAGTACGGTGTTTAATTTGGTTCTGTTTGGATTATGACCAAACTTTATCTATCAGAAGATATATACAACCAAACAAAACTAAAGCAAAACAGCCGCAACCTATTTTTTCTTATATGGACTTGTTCGCAGTTTAGGTCTTCCTCAAGCTCATACCGAATAAGAAACTGAATATTCATTTGTATGCAATTGACAGAAAATTTTGGAAAACATCATCATATCACCTTGATAATGCGTATAATGACATAGATTTATCTTTGCTAAAAGAAAGTCGAAAAAAAAAGTAGTCATGTGGATAGTGTTTTCCAACTTGTCTTTATGGTTCAATATCATCTCTTGATTTTTTTCTATTCAATTTAATCCCTCAACTTTTGAAAATCTGCTCAAAGTCCTTCTGTAAAAAAGTTAAGAGATTAGCTAACGTGGATGTTAGCGCTGTTAACTTGCTGTCAAATTTACATAATGGTCCATTCATATCATCAATCTCTCTTTGTTTAGGGGCTTACTGTTTAACAACCAATTTTGCTCGTTATTGATTTAGACGGAATGTTTTTTGGGTTCGTACCACAATGGTTTTGACCACGGGACAAGTGGATTTGAAAAGTTTCTGATCGAGCACACCTTGTCGATTGAAGTTTTCTTCATCGTGTGTTGTTTTTCCAACTTTTGGGTGAGTGCGGATGTGATGTCCAAACGCTATATCATGAGTTGCATAGGCAGGCCAATCGTGATGATTACAATTTCTGGAAGTTCAAATCATCACATTACAAGCATTAAGATTGAGACATTCTGTATAATTGGCAGAAAAATTCTCTAAGATTTATGACCAAGAAGAAAAGGTCTTACATGGCAAGTGTTTAAAATGCTGGAAAATTAAAATAAACCGGGAAGCACATGTCCTTTAATGTGTTGCTTAATAAGTAGATATTCATATTTTTCTTTCCTTTTCCTTCACAAAAGGGATAGAAAATTTATATTAGTGTAGTTTTTACGGAGCTTTCAAAAACTACTTTAAGTTTAAATTGGATCTCAAGCAAGTTAACCAGGTCTTTGGGAACTGGAACTATAAGAGCATCGTCCTTTTTGGACGTTGCAAATGGAGACCGTCTATAAGATCCACTCCATGTCCTAATATGTCACGTATAAGATCCACTCCATGTCCTAGTATGTCACGTAATGAAAGGTGGGCACTAACATAGTACAACAATCGAACAAATAGAAAAATATCGTAAAATACAAAATTACGATCATGGTAATAAAAAAAAATTTACCTAGATTACGATTTCTCTTAATCTTCACTAATGATCATAAAAGAAGATAAATGAACTTAGCTTCTACTATAAGAATTGATACAATAATCTCATCAATCCACAATGATGTTTTGCATAGCTTGTGAATTTTTCAATCCTCATGGCTCATACATGTTTGACACCTCTACCTGCAACAAGGGAAGGAACAAAAAGGAAAAAATCGCTTAATACAATAAAAGAGAATGAACAAGAAATAGAAGAACCTAGGGAAACAACAAGAAAATCAATAGAAACTCGATTAGCATTCTCTCGAGTTGCAAATTACTGAAATACATCACACAACATCTTTTCACACTTCCATGTTGAGGTTGATAAAAGTGAAGAACTCTGATCGGATCAGTGATTTACCAGAAAATTAGCAAAGCAAAAAATGCTGTCAAAAGAAATTTTCTGGTAGATCACTGCCCGAACAGAGGTACATCTCTAATCACTTTGCTTGAATAATACTTTTCTTTTACTTTTGTGAATGATCAATTTGATGGAAATCATCCATATTTATAGCCTGTAAATCACTCATTACCTGAATAAGAATAGTGTCGCCGACATATGCGCTTACATAATCATGTTGGACCATATGTCAACTTAATCATGACTTTGGATTAGTTGCCCATAATGCCATGTCCAATAGTTGGTGAATTTTAATTCATGTCGATCCTCCTAATTAAATGCTTTCTAATTGAAGTGTGATGTATACAAGTAATGATTGATTCGATTTAATATTAGGTTCACATTTTATTAGCCACAAGTAGTAAGTGTGAAGAAACTCGCTCCATTCCATGGTTTTGATCTACTCCGGCAATCGCAACAGATGAGTGAGTCCATTTTTCTCAATTCCAAAATGCAAGCAAGACCAATAAGAAAGCTTACTTCACTCTTGGTTGAATGTCGATTGAGGACCAGTGGACAACCCAATTTCCTCGCTTGGCCAGTGATTGAGGACCATAACCTCCACTTTGATAAATTGGCGTAATTGTTAGTGATAATTTAATGATTTTAAAAATATTTCCTTTCTATTTCCACTAATACCATTTTATTCTTTATACTAATTCTAAAGAGATTATTACGACTTGATAAGTTTATCCTACCCAATAAAATAAGCATACAGAGATACTATCATTCTTTAAGAAAGTTTCCCTTTAATCTAGTCGACTCAAAATTCCATTGGACAAGTATGGTTTTCCATGGTTCTGTTTGGATTATAATTATCACCAAACCTTATCATTTTGAAAAAATATCAATCAAATAAAATTAAAGCAATAAGATCATAACCCATATCATGGGTAGTTTTGATTAGTTCTCAATTATCCTTGTTGACCTATGCGCTTACGATTCATCAAGTTGAAACTTATGTCATCTTATATATGACTCATAAAGAGTTGGATTAGTTGCCAATCATGCATGCCAAATATTATGTTGAGTTTTAATTCATGTCGATCCTCCTAAGTAAATGCCTTTTAAAATCAGTGAATGTGTGAGTAATTATTGACTTAGTTAATATTATGTCTGTATTTGATTAGTCGAGAGTGATATAAGTGTGAAGAAAGTCGCTCCGTTCTAAATGTGACACATAATAGGTATGAAAAGGGCCATGATCTTGATCTATTATCATCGATTTTATTCTTCTCAACTCTAAATTTGCTATAAGACTAATGTCAAGATAATGTGTCAATTTTGCCGCATCTTGGTAATTTTTTCTCCCACGGGTGTTTTCTTGGAGGAGATAAACAAATTTTCCCCTTATTCCCTCTTTTCTATTCTTGTAACATTCAGTACATCGTTGTCAGAGTACAAGAATAATATTTGCTAACCATAAGCAAATTATACACTTTTTAAACACTAGCAAAAGGGCGCACACATGTGTTATAAAAATGGGAAGAAAAAACTAATATGAATTGCTTGTTTAGGGGAATAAACAAAATTATATATATACCGGAGATTTATGGAGTACGATGGGACTTGTGTTGGCCTTTTCAAATTGCATTTTTTTCCATTATTTAGCAGTAGACCTGTCAAAATGGGTCATAAATTCATTTCTTAACATATATATTAGTAATTGATCATAAATGGGTTAGTTATATTTAGTAAATGGGTATAAGTCTAATATGGGTGTTAAATGGGTCGTAAATGAGTTTACAACTGATTTGAACTCAACTCATTTCTCTCGCCCTCACTCAATCTTGCGCTCGCTCGCTCGCTCACTCCGCACTCTCATTTCAGTTTGAGTATGAATTTTCCTAGATTTAGTTAATATGGAAGTATTTTAGCAATATGGGTCTAATTGGGTATGGGTCGGGTCAGGTCGGGTCGGGTATGAATCAACAATATTACATTACGCATAAATGAGTCATAAACGGGTTAATGGGTCAATTTGGGTCAGACCATTTATGATCCGACCCACCCATTTGACAGATCTATTGAGTAGTTAGTCATTTTGAACAAAAATTTAAGGTTCAAAGATTGTTTGAAGTTGCCTTGCAATGTATAGAGATAATTAAATAAATTATTGTAAGCTCTCTTTGGAAAATAAAATTTTAGGTGATATAGTCATAATCGATAAAAGGAAAAAATGACGAATAAAGTCCGTTCAAAATAAGGTTGAATTCCCATTGGCCCTGTGATAAAGGTATAACCTATTGTTATTGAGAACATGAGTACGTTCAATGCTAGCATCTTAAAGGGGGTTACGATGACGAACTCGTCAATCTCAGATCTTCAACTTGTCGGCGGTGGGAAGTAATTACAACTGAATTTGAACATTCCGTGATCGTGTGGGACCTCATAGTAATGCCTATAGGGTGTCGCTAGCACCTCCCAACTCTTGAATTAATGGGTGAGAGAGAGAACTTGTGGTGGGATAAGTGAGTTTTTAACCGTTCTCTCTTATAATTAATTGGGATTGAAGATGAAATTATGAAGAAACTAACCTTAAGACGAAACCAAAAATGATACTTCTGAGTCTCGAGGATATCAGATAGTTGACATGGCAGGTACACGGCCCAAGTTAATGAAGAGAAGCTCGGACGTGATATAAGCCGCCATTTTCATAAAAGACACTTTATAATTACGTTGAAACATTTTTATAATCAGACAAAATCATTCGTACAATCTCCATAAATATGATCATACGATGGGAGTCGCAAACCAGCTGAAATCAATCAAGGCCAACCAGATGGATTCAGTAGTTTTGCGGATCCACTTCATAATTTGTCCAGGCCCACGTTCAGAAGATTTGGATCCGAGCCCATCGGCCCAAATCATCTGCATAAACCTCGGAAAAACCTCGAATGACCGAGGAACGGCAAACTGAAGCAACGTAACAGCTAGCACGCACGGTCTGGAACTGAAGCTCGCTGCAATGTCGAAGATCGAGACCTTCGACGACTTCGTGAAAGTTCACGGCCTGCTGCTGACAGCTTCCGGGTTGCCACGGCCGCTGCACGAGCAGCTTTTCAAGAAGCTGTCGACCGACACCTTCGACGGCGGCGCGTGCTTCCAAATCGAGCCGTGCGAGGATGGGCGTCAGAGGAGGCTCGTCCTCACTTCGGGCTTCGTGGGGAAAGAGTCCGACGTCTTCCTTGTCGACCATGCTTGGACTTTCCGGCTCTCCGATGCGTACAAGCAGGTTCTTGATTTTCTGTTTCGACCCATGTTCTGTTTACTTTTCTGTAATGGTGGAAATGGGCATCGGATTTTTTAAGTGTATGTAATGGCAAAGCTAGTGTTTTGACTGTTGAATTGTGACTGGAGAATATAAGTTGAGTGTCGTGAAAGGTTTATAAGATTTCTGAAAATTGGAGTTGGTATGATTTCGCGACATTCCTTTGTATATAGTAATAGTGTTGGTGTACAATAGAGAATTATTTCCTAGGGTGATATGTTCCTTTTGCCTATAATGTGCAGAATAAGTTAATCCATGAACATCTTTTTTTGAATAGTAAAATTGTAAATCCCACTGGGTTTTCTTACTCTAAAACTTTGATGTTGCATTTATTACAGCTTCAGGAAGTTCCGGGGTTGGCTCAGAGGATGGCTGTTTTAATGTGTGTCGATGGCGATCTGAATGTAGATGAAGAAGCTGAAGGGAGAACTTCAATAGAGGACACTGGCAGCATGTGCATTGAGGATATACTGGAACATGAACTGTGTAAAGCAAAAGAGAACAAGGACACTGTCAGATGGTTGGAGCTCGATGAGCTCGATATTGATGATGACACGCTCTTATCTCTCGATTTATCTGCTAAATTTCCGGTTGGTGTTAACTACCTTCATCCTGAATTAAATTATACTAGTGTAGTTGGAACCTTTGAGAATTACTAGTTCATGCATGATTATTATGTTGTACAATCTCATCTTCCATAACTATGGTTGAAAAACTCTTATCATTTGTTATTTATAGACTAAAAATTAACATTACCGAGTTTCGTGGACTATATGCACAAGCAACCATCATTTCCTTACAACGTACTTGCTCTGGAGATTATCTCCGGTACCATCTTTGAGCTTTTTGTGATGAGATGAATTTATGGTTTACATGCTCATTTTTTCTTGCGTTAGGATTTACTTGCTCTTAGCCTGTGTGGAAACAGGCTCGAGAGTGCAGATATCATTTTTCAGGAAGTTACCAAATTCAAGCATCTAAAAGCTCTGTGGCTCAACAATAATCCAGTTGTAGAGAAATGGTATGTGCATTTGCGCCCAATTAACTTAGAGCAGGCTTTTAGAGGAGCGAAAGTTGAACGGTTTTACCTTCAGTGATGGCTGTCTGGCAGATAAAATTCTTCAGGCTTGTCCCGGGCTTGAAATCCTTAATTCATCTTTTACCCATAATTTTGGAGAATGGGCATTGGGATTTTGTGGAGAAGTCTATGGGAAGGATAACCCAGGCCAGCACTGTGGAAGTGACCATAAGTTGCATGAAGTGACGTCTCTCGATATTTCTAACAGAGGCATTCACAATCTTGCTAATAAGGTCCGTGCCTCAATTAGCTTACTGTTCTTGGTGACTTATTCGTGTTATTATTTTTCATACGTTTTACCCTTTCTGCAGGCATTTTCACCTGCTATGATGCCATCTCTTTCATATCTGAACCTTCGGGGAAATTCACTTCGAGAGAATTCAGCTAGTGAATTGTTGGAAGTCTTAAAGCAGTTTCCTTCCTTAAATGCTCTTGAGGTGATTATTTTGCTTTTGTTGATTAACCCTTCTCAGAACTTACCACAAGGGAACTAGCTGAATGGAGTTTGAAAGTTTTAATATTTCAGTAGAGGTTAATTATTTATGTAGGTGGATATTCCTGGACCTTTCGGTGAAAGCGCAATAGTGATTCTGGAATCACTCCCGAAGCTTTCGTTCCTTAATTGTGTTTCTGCAACCAAAATATTAGAAGCTGGGAAGCATGTGATTGACTCTATCCTTGAACCACGTCTTCCGGAATGGAAACCAGAGGAGCCCCTCGCGGATCGGGTTGTCAATGCAATGTGGCAATATTTAATGACTTATAGACTTGCAGATGAGGAAAAGATCGATGAGACTCCTGCATGGTATGTGTGTTTTTTTTTTATGACCCGCTCTTTACATGAACAATGAACTAGCTTACATATATAAAGTCAAGGTCCTCCTATGCCTAGTACGTCACCATGGGACATGTCCTCCTATGCCTAGTATGTCACAATGAGACATGTCCATATGTCTTTCCTGTTTATCTTTGTAATGTTCACGCTTTCAGTACACTTTTAATTGATTATTGACTTGAAATGTCATGCCGTTCGTTTAATACTGCCTGAAGACATTTGACCATCTGAAACGGCATATCTGTTTCAGCTTTGTTTTTATTCGTTGAACTCTCTAAGAACTTTGTGCAGATATCAATAGCTGACAGGACCAACCATATTATTCTGTGAACCCCATTATTATTCTATGTATTGCCAATTGCTATTCTATGAGTATGGAATAGCATGTGGATCTGCCTATGGAGTACTTCATCAAGGATATCTTTTGTTGTAATATAATGACAGTGCTATCTCTCTGATGGCATAGGTATGTGATGGATGAATTGGGCTCTGCTTTAAGGCACAGTGATGAGCCAAATTTCATGGTGGCCCCATTTCTCTACATGCCTGAGGGAAACCTAGCATCAGCTGTGAGGTCAGCTACAACTATATCCTCTTCAACTTTGCCTTTTTTGGCATCGTTCTGCTGGACAACCTTGTCTTCTATACATGAATGCAATGTTTGATTCCTTTTTTGGGCCAATGAATGTCGTGATTGAATTATTGTCACATTCTGTCCGTAATTTCACAAGTTACGGAACTTGTGTTTTTTTCCTCTAGCTAAACAAACTCGTGTTTTTTGTCATCAATCATTGTTCCAGGTTCGTCCAACCTTTATATTGTCAGTTTAGATGTCCCTTTTTTTTATATAGTGAAACAGTGGCAGAGTCATCTTTATAATGGGTCTGCTCTATTTTTTCCAGCTATTCTCTCTTATGGCCAATCCAGAATGTTCAGCAAGGTGATGAGTGCACCCGTGATTATCTTTATGGGATTGGAGAGGACAAACAGCGATCTGCCAGACTTACTGCTTGGTTTCATGCACCTGAAAATTACTTTATTAAAGTACAAGCATGTTATTTATTGAGTTACAATTTTAAATAGCTGCTTGTAGATTTATCATTAATGCTTGTTTGTTCATCCAGGAATATGAGAAACACCGTAAGGAATTGGAATCCAGAAGTTTTACTCCCCCATCTGTAATGTCTTCGGTGACTAAAAGCCTGATTGAAGGCGACAGAGGTCCTTTACGTGTGTACACTGACATACCTCAAGTTGAAGAATTTCTTAAACGGCCTGAGTTCATCCTCAGTATGTACTGGATTCAAACTGCTTTTAAAACTTGCCCCCATCATTTTTCCTTGCTGTCTTTTAGTTTGACTTGTGTTGTAGTGACTATTATTGTTTGAGGAGCTGTCATTTCTCACTAATTGCTCACATTAACTCAATATGTCTGGTTGAATTAGTGGAGGTTGGTGACACTTATCTAACAAGATGGCAGGACAATTTTGTTTCCTGATTATTTGATGCAGGCTTCATGTTGCTAATATTCCCCATGATTGTGGTCTCTGAGTTTCCATTTTCTTGAAATGCATTTGATTGCTTAGTGATTAGTTAACTCATTTTCGATCTGAGTTACAAGTAGCAGCATTTGCCGATTCTTTTTTCACCATTATGTCTCATTATTTTTTATATTTTCTTTGATTCGCAGCCTCTGACCCAAAGGACGCACATATCATCTGGACGAGTATGCAGATCGATGAAGATACAAAGAAAGCCACTGGAATAACAGATGACCAAATTATTAATCAGTTCCCTTATGAGGCTTGTGTTGTGATGAAACATCATTTGGCTGAGACAGTTCAAAAGGTCAGAAAGATTCAGGTTTCTCCTGTTTGCATCAGCTATGTTTCTAGAATATTATTCATTTTCTCCATCATCCTGCAATTTATGGGTTCTTCCTGAAGCTGAAAATTAGTTGGTGTTACCAAAAATTTAACTCTGATATTTATTTTCCCTTCTACATTCGTCAGGCATATGGATCTCCTGACTGGATACAGTCAACTTATAACTTGGAAGTGCAGTTGGCTCAACTTATTGGTGACTATTACATACGTAAAAAGGATGGGCTTAACAATTTGTGGATTTTAAAGCCTTGGAACATGGCACGGACTATTGACACTACGGTCACTGATAACATATCAGCCATAATCCGTCTCATGGAGACTGGTCCGAAAATATGTCAGAAGTACATCGAGCATCCTGCTTTGTTCCAAGAGAAAAAGTTTGATCTTCGCTATATAGTACTTGTCCGCAGTATGAACCCCTTGGAGATATTCCTTTCTGATGTATTCTGGGTAAGGTTGCATTTCCTGGTCTATTAATAGGATTTACATCAATCAAACTTTCTTAATCCAAGGCTTGTCTCATCTAGATACTCACTGCATCGAACAGTTCTCACTATTTGCTCTGAAATTGTCTCAAATTTTAGGTAAGGTTGGCAAACAACGCATACTCTTTGGAGAAGAACAGCTTTTTTGAGTACGAAACTCACTTTACAGTAATGGTGCGTCTCCTGCAGCATCTTATTCTATATGATTTTCCTAGTTTTTTGGCAGTGGTGTGCTGTTGTGCACGCTTAGAAAGTTCAACCCAGGATTTAGATGAAATGCTCGATTTTATGCAATTTTCTTTCATGAAAAAGGAGTTATCGATGGTTTTATTGGTAGGGAGTCAATATGAATTAGGGATATAGAGTAAGAAAGAATCACTGATTCTCTAATTGTTTCTATATTTTTCAGAATTATCGTGGACGAATCAATCACAAAAACACGCCTGATTTTGTAAGGGAGTTCGAAGTGGAACATAAAGGTAGTCAAGTCTTGGCTTTCATTGCCTGACAAGAAAGTTCCTCTCTTGTGCTCAACTTTAACTGGATTCTCTTAATCGCAGTTAAGTGGCTTGACGTGCACGAGAGGGCAAAAAAGATGATCAGTTCAGTATTTGAGGCGGCTGCATTTGTGCATCCTGAGATGCATAGTCCAATGTCTAGGGCCATATATGGAGCGGATGTCATGCTTGATAGCTCTTTCAAACCCAAGTTGTTAGAGGTATGCAACTAAATTGAGTCTTTCTTTTGTAAATATCTCAGGCCTGCTTCTTTTTCTTTCTACTTTTTATCTGGTTGCCCGGCAGTTGGCAGTGAATTATGAAATCCGCTACAGATGAGAGGACGGACAATACAATTTATGTTCACTCATGACGATACAAAGTCCTCATTGTCACTAATCTTCTGTGACACACATGCTATGTAGGTGACCTACTGTCCTGACTGTACAAGAGCTTGCAAGTATGATATGGTATCTGTCTTTAAAGGTGAAGAATTGAGAGGTTCCAACTTCTTCAATGATGTCTTTGGTTGTCTTTTTTTAAATGAAACCACTCACGTTAGTCCATTGTAATGGTTTTGGCAGAGATGAACGTACTTTTCTATTGTATGGTAGAATTATACAAGGTTTTTGGTGAATTTTCTTTTCTTCAATTGATATTATCTTGGTCTGTCATGTGGTAAAATTAAGGGACGAAAAAACCAGTGTCACATAATTTTATTTCCACAAATATTGTTGTTGTGTTACTTTCCCTGTCGCAATAGCACTTTGTCCCTTTGGCCTTTCCCAAATCAACTGTGAAACGAGTCGCATGGCAAGAGAGAATTAGAGGGCAAGGAAATATTTTCCATAGTTATAAGGATCACGATTTCACTCATTTCGTTATTATAAGTATCACCGTTCGAACTTGTTCGTACTTGTTAATCGGCATTAGAGCTCTCTTTCATTGATTGGCTAATATGCCTGAACGATGATAAGGTTAATAATATTGGTGAACCATCGGAATGCAAAACCAATTTCGTTTCTACAGAGCAAGGTGGAGAAAAAAGAGCAGAAGGAATTATTTTCTTTAGAGATAAGTGTCACGAGCCAAATGGAGGAATGCTCAACCGTTTTGCTGCCTTAACTCTAGTCTCAACTGAGTAAATCTAACTAAAGCGTGGTAATGGGTTAAAGAATATAATAGCAGTATGTGCTGTAGAAAAAGTGTGGTAGAGTTATGGCTTTCAGTGAAGAACATTCTTTTCCTGGGAAATTTACCTTTGAATCGTTATCTTCTTAATTTCTATAATTTTCTTCAAACGAGACAATGGAGTGCGAGTGAATGTACGGTGATGATGATAACGCGGGCCCAGCTCGAACTCAAGCGCGGAGAAGTCCATGCCCAACCAGCACACCAATGATGGTTCAGTATAAGATGGCCCTGAGAGCCTGATTAGGCCCGAGAACGGCTGCATATTTCTAGGAAGACCATGTGAAAATGGACCCGAATCAACAACTTTAATTATGCTCACTTGAACCCTAATCGATTACCTTCTCTAAGCTTTTTTCTCGACGAATTAAGCTTCAAAGAGTCGATCATGACCTGAACCCTGAAACATCTTCACCTTTGATGTGCATTCAACGCATTTAGTCGCCTCTATCCTCTTCAAGGAATTCCAGGGAGTATTATTAGCCTGCCCTTTCTATTACCATTCCCTAAGTAGATCCTGCACTTGCCAGTACGGCAATGCTGAGAGCTGATTTAAGCGCATGGCGGGTACATACGTTTACACAAGAAAAGTATGGATCGCTATCATTGATAGTGCTGATACAGGGTCATTGAAACGATGAACTCGTTACATATAGAAAGATTTGAAGTTTTAGAGCGTGCCAATAACCCTAATGAGTCTAAAGAAAGAGGCAGATATAACAACGTGGTGAGAGCTTGGCTGCATTTGTCAATAGCTTGATTCAACGTGAACACTTTACATCCTCTACATGTCCCAACTTCTAACTCCCTGAAGATCAGTGAATGGACATTGATATGGTGAGTCCTCCCTATCCTCCACATGTCCACACTCCTAACAAGTGAACAGATATGGTCAGTCCTTTCTATCTATATTGCTTGAACAATGATTAGGCCTTCAGGGCCGTGACACCGTAATCAAGATGTTCTAACATCTAGAAGCTATTTGAGCAATGACTAAGCAGATACTGTACAAGTATCATCCTTAATTTGACAGCAAAGCTTATCCGGGTCCTTGCTGCTCTTTTGAAGCTGCTGAACTATGTGGCTCGCTGCTTGTTGCTATCTTCTTTTGCTGTTCATCCAAGGCTCGTTCAAGCTTCAAAAAGTCAAATCATCATCTTAGAAGAAACAATTCATCAATGACAGATACAAAATGTGCAATGCACTACATAATCGCTGATTTATAACCATCAGCATGATGAAGAAAATAAACAAAACAGTACCTTCGCTGCCCGAGTGCTCCACTCTCCTATAATAGCTCTTAGCCTCTCATGTTCTTCAACATACTGTTGTTCAAGAATTAATTGTAGTGAAATGTCATCACAAGCACGAAAGAAAACGACCTAACTGTAGTATAGAAGACAAATGTGTAAGGACTGGCAAAGTAAATTCCAGGTGTCATCCACTCCAACAGTTCCTTTCCTAACCAGCCTAGCAAGTATTAAACACTTGAAAGAGGTTATATTTTCTTAGAAGGATTTTCAATTCACAAGGCAAGTCTATAATCTACTTAGTAAAGGCCTCACAGAGCAGAACTTTAACTGTAACTAGTGGGATATGTGCTAAAAAGTAGGCGAAACAGTTCCTATGAGATGAGGCAGGTCCATCCCCAGCTCAACCATGTGAGACAAAGAATTAAGGGAAATCCGTGTTAAAGGAGAACAATTCTCTTTGATTCCTAGAGAGGGGATGTGGAGTTTACTGAATTTCACTAGTAACTTCTTTTTGTGGGGTAACAACTATTACCTTTTTTTTTAATCTCACCCTTCTCAATTAAGTCAAAAGATTCATCCTGTTTCCACATTTGTTTCTGATATTAAAACAGAATTGGAGTGATTGCTATAGAGTCCATAAAAGTATAAGTCCATATTTCATACCTGATTGTTAGTTGTGCGAACACGCTGGATCTCAGAGTCTCTCTCAGCTATCAAAGACCGAGCAAGCCTAAGCTCTGATTGCATTTGATCCATCTACATTATGCCAAAAATGTCACTCAAACAGAATACTAGATATAATATGTCAACATTGCCCATCATGATCTTGGATTCAACTGACCATGGAAGCACAAATAATATCAAGGGGCAAGGATGAAAAAAATAAAGCCAGAGTCAGGAAGTGCGGAAGAGGGATATTGCAAAGGTTATGAAGGTGGAGATGCAACCCAAGATAGTGTCTTCAATCATGAAACACCTACTGAAACTTCATAAAGAGACCAAGGCATTTGATAGAATTATCAGAATTTAAATCATTATGATAGTTTGAGAGTACAAATTGATCAATGGTATACATCACTGAGTTAAATTGTGAAATAACTAGGAGTTTGATCAAGAGAATTTTTTACATGTATATGGGGGACGAAAATAGTACAACAGAAAACAAAAATCCGAAGATGTAAGGTATCCCCTAGATGTCTCATCCGTTTATAGGCTCACAGCTTCAAGAAATTGAATACATGAATCTAACTTCCTTGTTTATTACAGTGATACCTCTTTTACAAAATGATTATAGCCATATCATCGCAAACTTACTTTTTGTGATAAAGCAATCATGTGGAGAAACCTGTAACAGCTTCCTCCACATGATCATTAATATAAATCACATCAAGACATTAATTTTAGCAATTAAGTTTTTCGTCTTCCAGGTTCCATTCACTAACTTGAATTTGATTGGGCCTAGCCTTAAGAATAATGCAAATGATGGCAGCAGGTTGCACATCTACACCCTGAATTAGGCTGCACTTTCACATTAAAGAAATCATACTCCAATGATAGGACATATTACCTCAGCTGAAAGCGTCCTTAACTCTTGATCACGAGCTGCCAATAGGTGGGCCAGATCAACCTGAAAAGCAATCACTAAAAATCATTATTGCTCATGACCAACTAACGGTCGTTTGGTTATAGGAATATCAGTGTTCAGTAGATACTCGTACAACTTAAACCATCACTCTAATACAGTTGTCTGAAATGCATTCACATCCAGGAACATACATAAAAAATTGTTTTCGTCCTCAGCTACATTGGCTAACTTATCTAAGAAGGGAGGCTGATCATCCGGCTCCATATGAATCACATTGAGATTGGCAGGCTCACCCGCAGAATATGCTATGTAAGAGAGAGTGGTAGAGTATAGAATTGAAATTATTCTTATGGAACAATTTCATCTCTACAAGCACACAGCACACTCAACATTCATATAATCATAATTATCAATTTGTTACTTTCTTTAGACTTAATATTCGACTTGGTAAACCTTCTCAAGAACTTTCGCACTCTGTTTTCAATCATGTAACTGAAGGAGAGCCAAAAGATATTACCTGTGGAGTGCTTCCGTCATTGGATCGCTCATATTTGCTCAAGGATTCTTGCAGTCGAAGAACCTGCAGGACAATCCTACAGTTCGGTTATCTTGATATCTTTAACAACAGTATAGTGGCATATCAAGAGAGAAAGGTCTGGGGGCCTACCACGTATCTCCACATGTCAAATGGTAATTTGTAAATCGCCTCACTATTTCATTATACACACAAAAGTTGAACAAGAAAAGATGTAGTATGAGATAGCCCAGTAGAGTGGAGCATGGGCATTCTGTGTGGGCCCAAGGTCCATGAATCGAATCCGGACGACACTCTCTTTTAGCATTACTTTTCTTTTTTTGCTTTCCTCTTTCTTATTGTCTTTTTTCTTTCAATTCAAATAATGACATTTTTTTACTATACTGCTCTGAGTGAGGATAAAGTCTATCTTTTCCATCATTTTGCTTTTTCCTTTGTTTTCGTCTGTTTGTTTTTTTCAAAGTTAATTACAGACAAATTTACTTTGTTCTATTTTTCCAGCCTATCATTGAATATATCATTGTACTTTGTTATCTTGCCTAACTAATCTACCCATGTGTGCTTTATGATTTTCATTTTATAATTGTTAACATTTTCAACGGTTAATTCTTTCGAAATTTTGTGATACCTATTCAAGTTTGAATAACTCTACATCTGCTATATCTTATCAAGAAAAGGCATTGCTTGGATGTTATTGATGAGTGCTTTTTTTATTCTACGTTTTTTCATTATTTATCTTTCTTGATATTTCTTTGATTTTTAAATTTTTCCAATTTCCTTGGTTGTTTCCATCTTATTACCTATGGATAGATGAACCAAAACAATGCCATTTATTATCATCTTTCAAGAAAAAAATTATTTATCATCTTTCCTGTCAAAATTTAAAGAAAAATATTTTAAATTTAGAAATAGGATTTTTATAAGTCCACAGCCGATGTCAAAGATAAGTTACACATTCATCGGATGGTTAGCATGGGGAACTAATTTGGTTATGAAACTAACTAAAAACACACGTGTCATTTTTTTTCTGGTTTTGTTTTGTCTTCTGCTAGAATTTAATTTTCATATAATAAATATTGATATTGAATTAGTATTCATGTCGAAGGATGGGAAGGCCACCCATACTTTAATGTCAATTACGGCAAGGTTAAATCATATACGGTTGATTGAATTTGTTTGATCCTCAGGCAACAAATATTTGACATTTCATAATGTACTAGATTTAGATTCTTCAAGTATAAATAAATTTGATATATGTTTCGCCAATGTCATTAGATGAATGAAATTTCATTAAGTTCTGCAGCATCCCACTGGCAATTTCTAGTATATATAGAACACTCTAAGAAGTGATCTGCCAATAATTGAAACAGAAAGAGCTCATAGACATCTTGCCACGAGGATCAACAAGTGCTAACCAAAATCATAAACACCCATTAAGTTTTAAAAAAGAGAAACACCAACCTCCTCACTTAGAAAATGGAGGTTCTCACGTTGATACTGCAATAAAGCCATTTGCTGATCAGAAAGCCGTCCACCATCATGGTATCTGCAGCACATATTATCACAACAACGTATCATGAAATCCATTAAAGCATCAACCAGTATTCGTGGAAATACTGTCTGTTAGATCAAAATATATTTTCAGCCCATCAAAACTGCTCCAACAACATTGAACTATAAGGACCCAAATCGCAAGGCCAGAAGAGGTATATCACATGACTCTCATGATTTAAGAAATAAAAGTAGACCTATCGAATTTCAGGCTTCAGAAAGAATAACAACCTTACGCTTTCCAAAGGACTTGACTGTTGAAGTGGAGAGTACAGTGACTTTAAAACATCAGGATGAGAATTTAAGGTATTGTAACGGTGGACATATCCTGCATGCACCAACAAATAGAAAATTCGAAGATGATATATTAATGATACACAATTGTTTAACTCTCACGATATCAAGAGAAGAATACCCAATATAAACATGCTCACATGAGCTCCTATCTTGATCATGGCACAACGAAGAAAATTAAAGTACAACAACAGACTGTATTGATGCAAGACAAGCGCATATCAAGAGGTTCTTAGAAGTTTGACGTTTATTACGATGCATGTCTACTCACCAATATATACACTCATAAAAGACCCAGCACATATCGCTTCTATGACCATGATAATCCTGCATGTTCATTAAAAACGAATTTATTACGCATAGAAATGAGCAAAAATTTTCGATCACAAAAAAGTTACGCAAAAATGAGACTACTAAAACCAGAGTTAAATTTTATGCGCTCAATCCTAGAGGGTACAAAAATCTAGAAGCTAAATTAATGGGGTAAAAAAAACAAACACAAACAAACAAAAAGAATAAGAAGCAAAAGAGGAAAAAGTCTGTTGTTAGACTGATAAAGAAAGGAAAATAAGTCAGCTAAAGCAGTAAATCCAAGCAACATTCAGCAATCAGTTTCATGCAAAAGAACATAGAGCAAGTCTAACAAACAGATTCCTCGACTCATCAAATGTTTGACCTCTCCTCAAGAACTTCATTGTGTTATCTAAAACCCAAGTAAACATTCAGCAACCGGTTCTCGGGAAACAAAAAAGGATAATTTCAGATGACATGCATGGTTCTTGATTTGTAAAATATCATTCTGCTTGATAGGTTTCTCTTATGCTTTCATTAAACAAAGATAAAACTAAGGTTAATCATCCATTTTGCATAATCTGCAACAGAAAATTTCTATTCTAGAACTTCTCCATGCTATATACGCTACATACATACCAATGCCATTCGTCCAGAAGAACCATTGATATAGGTGGGTGGGTATCATACCTCAGCATCACAGGTATGGAGAGAAAACTGACGTAGGAATTCCAGACAATGACAAGTAGCATAGCAGCGGTTCCTAGCATCCAAAAGAAACTCAAGTCAGTAGCAGTAGCATCATAGTCAACTTACTTTTTTATACAAATCCCTCTTAAGTTTTGCCTCTGATAGAAAAGATAATAGAACATTATAACAATATTTCCTCTGGCATAAATAACAAAAGGTACTCATAAATTAAGGAAAACCTCCACCGTTTGCCCATAGCATTGGCACACGACTACAATATCTAACAAGCAAAACCAGCACTATATGGTTATACTAGTTATCTAGTCATGAAGACCTAATATGTTTCCACAAAGACTACTCCATGTCCACATTAGAATTATCTTTGAGTTATATCCAAGAATATTTTCCTATGTAGCTATTGCTCCCAATCTTCTGCATATGCATTTACAAAGATCGAGAAGCCTCTTATTCCACCATACAAGTCACAATGAAAAGAAGAGATTGCTTATATGCAGGGAAATTTAAGAGCAAAGATATGAAATATTTTCAAGTGTGTCAGATATCTCATTTGTCTGTAAGTCATGGACTAAAGAAGACTCAAATTACGAGGAACTATTAAGCTTTCAAAGTTTAGGACCATGATGATTTATATCATGTATGGTAGTCAACATAAACAAATGGATTAATAAATGAGAAAAACATAAAAGTTGCCGCCGGTATTAATAAGCATCATCTTATTTATCCAAATGAGAAAATCAAGAAATTGAAACCACATACCATATGCTGTGAATGCAAAAGGTAGACGGACAATATGCTTCAACTTCTGGCTGAAACTGTAGTAACCCTATCCAAAGAGGAAATCTTACGGTAAACAAATAGTTACAAAACCACACATATCTAATTAGAAGGCAGCAAATGATTATAGCAATGCCACCTCCCTATTTCACTCCATAAGATTGTTGCAGAAATGGGAGCACAGATTACCTGCAGTCGTATTTTTTGCACTTGGTAGACTAGATACTGTTGAAAGATTCCTGAATAAATGACACATTATATGAAAAAAGAATCAACATTTAACAAGATCTTTGTATAGCAAACAAATGTGAGCTGTCTAATAGCACCAACAAAGAAAAAAATGCATAATGGGGCCAATTTTGGAGGGAGAAAGAGGTTTGGGAAGTGGTATATAAGCACAAGAAGCAAATGCAGAATTTAGAAATGTATTTTGGCAACACAAAATGGTATTGCTACTTTAGAAACATATATCACAGAAGTTACCAAGTGACGTCCAAACAAGTGCTGCAACATCATCAAATTTACAGGCTTTACACACATATCTCTCAGCGCACTAGCACAGGATGGCATCCAAAGTATGTCCCCCTCCTCTGAATCCAACAAATTTCAGGTTCATGTAGCAAAGTCAAAGAACATTTGCTTGATCTACTCTGTTATACTGTATAAGCAGAAATTTTATATCTTAAAGTGATTGGGTGATGAATGGTAATGAGATGATGTGGCCTTTTGAGAGTTTTTCGATGACTTTTGTATTTTCTCCAAACAAACTTTTTTTCCTCTATATTTATTCATATTCATTCTTGCCCAACCCTAAAACTACTATTTGTTTGCAATCTTTTATTATAAATAAATGGATGGAATAGTGAAGATAAGTACAAGGTTGATGCTCTCTTGAGGACTTTTAGTGATTTTTAATTTTCTTCCAAAATTCACATTTTTTTTTATTTACACTTTATTTTTTATCCTCACGTTTGACTTAAAATTATTATTTTATCTGACCTTATGTAGTATTTAGAACAGTGCATCATGAATAAACATTCAATTGATTAAGTGTGCATGATCATTGATTAATATAAGTGAAATCAAAGTCTTGACGTGGTTATTGCAATTTTAAGATTGGATAAAAATTATCAATCTCATTCACGAAAGCAAATTCCACTATAATACACAAGTATAAAAATGATTTTTGCATATCTCGTGATATTTTGTAGTTCTGTTAATTTAAGTTCTTCATGTATTTCTTTTTCTTCTTTTGAAACAAATATAAACACAAAAGGTATTAATAAGTAAAATTTCAATTGGTCGTGCATGGCTTCGATTCTAGTTTTTTGGAGAAAGGAAATTTGATTAACCACTAACAACTTTCCATATGCCAATCAGGGAAAGTACAGGATCAATATATAGCACTTGTAATGTATTGTATCATCTTAAATTCAGTAAGAATAATCTTCCAAATGGCTGTGGGCAGAAAATGTTTTGTGGCCAGCATATTTATAGTTATTTTCCATAACTGCAAAGTGAGATACATCATACTCTAGCTATAATATTCAAGGCATAAACCAAATCTTATTATGAAAAAGACCCCACTAGCTGATTCAACTACAACTGTTGCCTGAAATAATAATAACAGCAATCAAACATTTCTCGCTAGATGTGTTTAGCTATATGAATTCTCCCATTTTCTTGTCATACGTTTAATAGCTTGCAGATATTCAAGGTCCTTCCAAAAAGTTTTCACCCATTAATTCTCGGGTCTTCTCCCACTCTTCTATCAGCAAGTCAAAGTTCCTACCAGAGCATTTCAAGGCCCTCATGTCACTTGCTCAAACTATTCCACACAAAATTTCTTCCATGTCATGAGAAAAGGGGACCTCTCCCATAATTCAATTCCAGTTTTATCATCTTTAATATGCACACTTCTGTTGCATTCTGCATGCTAAAGAAATCAAATGTGTTTGTCCAGTTCATCCTTAGGATCTCCAACCTTTTTGTAAAGAGAAGCCACTGTACCGGAATTGACCATTCTTTGCTTCTTCATTTCCAATTCTTACAGTTCAAACAGCTTTATTTACTAGAATTGCACTCCATAGACTGTCTTTGACCACTTAGATTAGATAACTTAGACTCCATGGCTACCCTGGATAATTCCATCTTCCCCTCACTTTTTCTCTATACTTATCCACAATCACTAGACCATTCACAAAAGCATACATCAGGAAAGAACATGTGTATATACCCGAATCTAGTCACACTATTGCATGGAGAAAGAGGAAAAATAACAGGAAGTTCAGCGTAAGTGCTAGAACCCCACAAAAATACATTAAAAACTCTCTTTTCGCAAAGGGTAAGGATCAATGCAAGTACCTGTGACTATCATTAAGGCGACATTACAACTGCAAAGCAAAGGCGGGATCAGCGAATCTATAGCTTCGAAGATCCATGGGGCTGCAATAGCCAGAACAGCATAACCGACCTAAAAAAACAAACATTCAGCGACCAATTCGCAACAAAACCACATGAACATCCACGCATTTCACAACTCTCGCTTAATCATCTGCAATGTACTTGCCAACAAGAAACAGTACGCAATGCTGCCGTAAATCCGCGTGCGCTTCCGGTGACCGAACAAAGGCGCTTCGTGCAGTATATCCAGGAACCTGCAAGACCCAGAATCACGCATCAACACTAAATGCTTTCTCGGTAGAAAGAAGTTCCGGTTCGGAACAATTTCAAGCCAAAACTAGCTAATCGACCCTCAAATTCCCGAGTCAATCGAAGTCACCCGTCACCCGAAGCAACCCATCGAAACCCAGAAGACAAAATCCAAAATTTCAGCTCGCCGTCCATACTCACAGCGCGTTGTCTTCCGGGGACGATGCCGCCGCCGAGGAGTGTCGCTCCGTGGCCATCCTCGTCGACTAGATCCTCGCCACCCCGCTCCCGGAGGGCCGCGTCGATGATCTCCAAAAGAAGAAGGAGAAGGAGAAGGAGAAGAAGAGTGGGTGCGCAGTGAAATTCATTCGCATTCGCACGGGCTGCGAATTCGCATCCGAGCTGACGAGAAATTTCGCGCGATGGGACTGCGAAAATGAAAGTCTTTCCGATCGTTTTCTTCTAGCGTGACACTCAAATGAAAGGGAGAGAGACAGAGAGAGAGAGAGAGAGAGAGTTATTTTCTTTTCTTGCCCGTTTTTGTCTGCCATTTTCGGCATCTTTCATAGCTTGAAGCTTTGGAAAACGGCCCAATGATACGTTTCCTTCTTGCAGGCCTGACTTAATCTATCGTCCTTCGTCAAGCCCATGATCTTGCTCGCAGGCCGAACGCCATCAAAACTGGAGCTATCTCCTGTAATGCCAGGAGAAGACCAAAAACGAAGACAGACTTGCGGGAACGATGAAGACAAGCGCGTCACGATCAGACCGAGTCCCGGTCTGATTTCCTATGTACCTTTGTTGTCATGTAATGTTCAATCCGTTCGTGTGATTTCAGTTTCTAGTTTGATGCGATTTCGATTCCCGGGCTTTGTTTCGATTCCTGCAAACTACTTACCTTTCTCCACACTTACGATTAGAAAGATTTTAGTCCCGTCGATCGGGTCCCCTTTTCTTGCGCTTTCGTGTGCGGGTATGGCGCACGGGCAAGGAGCTATATATCTCCCTATTCAATTTGCTTCTCTGTCTTCTAAAGTTCTAGATGCATGGTCGAGCAGCTCAACTACCACCACAACCAATGTTCGGGCCATTTGGAGGATACCCCGACCTTAATGTAACATCGAGAAAGATATATAAGCACGACCATCTTGGGTAGAGGCTAAGCTGGCCCTTCGATCCTCGGTTCATATGTTTTCGAGTTGTTTCCACAACTCAAGCATCGAGGAGTCAAAAACTACACACCTAAACCCGTTTATCTTATGGTCAAGTCAGAAGTTCAGGTCCAATTTGTGCATTAACAGGTTAGAAATTTTTAGGTTGAGAACTTAGGATGTTTTAAGTGTTTATGAGTGTTAAGAGAGCTAGTTTTTAACTTAGGATGTTTTTTAGTGTTTATGAGTGTTAAGAGAGCTAGTTTTTAACTAGAACAACGTCATGTTGGCGTCACGTAAGGCAAACAAGCACCGGAAGTCGATGTATGCGATGGCATTATAACCATTCAAACTGACTGATTTATATTGTTAAAAAAGACCTTAAAAATGTTCGTAATGAGAATAAGTTTGGACACCGAAATAATTGAAAAATTGGAAGATCGAGCTTCGGTTGTCTTCTCTTGTTATCAACACTCTCAAGACACATCAAGGAGATGGGTTTTTCGGTGTCTATTAAATCGGCAAGGGTCGTGTATTCCAACTTAATTGCACTTCACAACCATCGTAAAAACACGCACGTTTAATCCTCCGAGACGATGTAAAAGACCATATTTACATCACTCTTCCTCTCTCTCTCTCACTTGTATCACATGATCCTATTAGCTTTGCTAAAAGGAAATTTAACTGCAAATCGAATTGGATTTCGTAAAGCAACTCGTGCTGGTCACATGCTGACACGGCGCCGACGCTGGTTCTTGCTTTGTAAAGATTCTCGGACCCAATCAGCCCTCCCATCTGTCAGATCGGAATTCGGCAAGATTGATTGACGTTGACCGTTGACCCAACAGATGAACCCCTAGCTGGCAACTTTCTCCCTTGTATTCTTCTTCTTCTTCTTAGAATGCTGCGTGTGCGTATTTCCGAATTACTTGCCTAACAATTTTGCGGAAACCAAAATGCAATTTTAATTCTGTGCAAATTAGGAATGTGAATCTGACCCCAAAAAAAAAAATTAAGAATGCGATTTTATTACACGTGTAAGAAACCCACCTAGGAGATCAAACCGGTCATGCTTGTGTCTTTGGTGGTTGAGCAGAAAATAAGGTTCGATGACGTACCGTGAAAAGTATTATGGTCTTCCTAGAGGCTGTTGCATTGATTATGAGCAAATGGATCGAGAGGTTAGGTAGTCTTTTTTTAGTTTGTAAATCGCCATGAATTAAGTTGCTAATAGAATCTAGGCCTTGCCGGATGCACAGGACTAATTCGGTTTTACTCATCGATACCTTTTGCATTAGAATTTATTAGAAAATAAGGAAAAAAATGACTCGCAAAGTACAATAAAAAATTTATGATAACGGGAAAGCCACTATAAATACGAACTATATATTATACTTGTGTAACATATAGTGGAATTTCGTTTCGTCAATGTGGAGATTAATGAATTGCAATAACCGTGTAGGTATTTCGAATTCACTTATATTAATCAATAGTTATGCATGTTTAATCGGTTGAATTTTTTGTTTATGATTCCCTTTCCAGGTGCTACCATAAGGTTAGAAGGAAAACTAAGGTTAAATTAGAAGTGAGAATGAATATATATAGTGTGGATATAGAGAAAAGTAAACATCTGAATAAATTCTCGAGCACCCTTGTTTTCCCTTTACTATTTAGTATTTTTTGTAATTTCTATTGATTTGAGTTCATTTGTAAAATAAGAATATACAAAAATGTGAGTTCGGAAGATAATCAACATCATTAGAAATTAATGATGAGTATTCCATACTTTTATTTAGAAATTAATATTGCATGCAAATTGTAGTTTTAGGGTTAGGTACAAAGAAAGAATAAAAATGAATGCAGATAAATAAAAGTTTGTTTGGAGTAAAAAATAAGAGTCGTTGAAAAGCTTGTAAAGGGCCCCGTAATTTGATTACTATTAATCGTCCAATCACTTTAATATAAACAGAACATGGAAGTAGGTAAGATCTCTAATCAAGACTGTACAATTTCTTTGATGACATTTAGTTGCATTTTAACTCACATGATTAATTAAGACTTATATGTTGCAACCTAGAAGATGAAAGCGCTTCTAAAAGAAAATCTTAACGATTTGTGGTAGCACTAATTACGAAAGGCAATTTAACAATAAGTGAGATTAATCAAACTAAAGTCGGTGGTCAGAGCGACACCAACTATTGAAATAACACGATCTTCTAAAACAAAATTTTAGGTCATCAAGGTAGCAAAATGCATTGTATCTTTCTACATTTATTTCTATAGTTTGTGGTCGTAGTTGGTGAAATTCCATGGAGAAGGTAAGGTAGTTGTGGATGGATTGATTTGTTCATCCTAACTTGACCATGCTAGAGAACGATGTGTATGACAATAACATAAACCAAGAAAAGACATCCTAACATGAAATGTCTTGACGAGATTCCAACTAGGGAAATTGGGTATTTGGGAAGTAAATTAGTGGGTAAGCAGAAAATAGCCCTAATTGATGTAAAACAAAACCATAAATTTATTATTATAAATTTCATGCTCTAATTGAGTTATAATTTTGATTTTTTTTTAATCCAAGCCATGGGTATAGAGACCCAGCTACCTGAAGGCTCATGGAACATTCTGCAAGTCCAGTCAACTTGTTAAGTTCGGATGTTTGGTCTAGGCAACCACACAGTTGGTAGGATTCAAACTAGAAATCACCGAATAACTCAATCACTTTCGCCAATTTTGCCTGGTTCTAATCGATTTGTAATTGCAGAATTCTGTAGACGAAACCACAGAAGAATCTGCTATTTTAATGTCCTGCTCCTAAGCAGAGGCAGCTAGACTCTTGCCTTAGAGAACAAAACAGAATTGTCGAAAATGATCTTTTTTGAGATGAATGAACGGCACAACTCTTCATTTTATATATACTATCAGATGTGCACACGCTTTGGATGTGCACAACAAATTGACATTTAAAAAATTAAGCAAAGTAATTTTGTCATAAAATAGTTGAATCGTTATAGAAGGGAAATTATTAAGAAAATACACAACATAGAGAAAAATTTGTCAATAAATGTAGAAAAAGAAGAATGTTTCAAGATTTAATATCTTTTCAAGGAAGGTTGTTGCATGGTAGAAAATCACAAAATTTCGATACTAAAATATTTGAGAGATAATTATGAATTTACGCCTCCCTCCATGCATAGAATATGTGTAATATGAGTCATTAAGGACATTTAGGGGAAGAAAAAAATAATTGAGATTATTATAATCAGAAGGTTCTCTTTACTTTATATAAAATTGCAAATATTCATATCCACCCGAACCCATGAGTACTATGTGCATATAAATTGCTCGATAAAAATTGGTCACACAAAATTATGAAGGGAAGTCTATAATTGTTCTTGCCTGGGACTTTTTGATGTTGACTTCATATTCAAGTTTAAATCTGGATGGGGCTATTTTCACACTCTTTTTTTTTTTTTTGCCTAAAGCACACCTTTTTTAGTTAATTGATCAAATTATCCTCTAAATACTAAATAATTCAAGTACTTATCTCTCTCTCTCTCTCTCTCTCTCTCTCTCTCTCTCTCTCTCTCTCTCTCATATGTGTTAATCATCTCTATCATGTGCATACACACAGAGATTTGTACCGGATAATCATTTCAACTAATTCTTGAGTATTTTTTTGAGTCTCTCAAGAAGTGACTACATTTTTTAGATTCCCATTTAACAAAAACCTTAGATATATATAATTTCTCTCTAAATATTCTTCTTTCAATGGGTTTTTCATCTTTTCGGTAGAATAAAAAAATTTCCTTTTATTCAAAATTCAAAGAATACAAAAGGAAAATCTTTAAAGTAAACTAAAATATTCCTCTTTTGGGCAAATATCAAGTAGTATTTAATTGCTTGATCACGAAAATTCATTTGGAGAAGAAATTGATTTTTTGATATTTTTAGAGCAATCTCGAAAATATTATGGTATATTACATGATGTAATTCTTTGGAATACAATTGATATCTGCACACGTCATGATCCGACATCTATTGTACCCACGTGGCCAGCATCGGAGTGCAGTGCAAGAGATGCACAAAGGTTGATACAAATCGGTTCGTGGCAATAGCGCGGGATGTTTGCGTCAGCAATCCAAGGATGATATTATTATTACTATTCTTTTAGAGGATCTTCAATGGCCGAGGATGGCCTCCTGTGCGCAAACTGGTTGAGAGCTAATACACCCTTCGCATGATAACCGAGGCAGGCCAAAACTAGTTACTGTACCCAAGGAATCCATATGTCTCGTTCGAAGAACAAGTAACCCGAGCTAAATTGCGCGTCGTCCGATCACTGACGAAGCTGGTCTGCTGTTCCGGCTCATCAGGCGCCTCACGGGATCGTCCTCGGCCAAGAAACCGTGGTCCGTGACGCACACATATGCATACACATATACACACACATATATGGATTATTACTGTCTCTAATGTCCATTGTGCTGATGTTCTTCCAGTCATTTACTCACTACCTAAAAACATATCATCCGATCCTATAATCTCCTTGTCGTGTCCTCCCCCTCTTTTCTCGTTGTCTTTTCCCTTGTCGAGACAAGACTCACCACCATCAAGAAGCAAGAAGAAGAAAAACAGGAAGTGGGGGGACTGGGGAAGTCGGGAACGCGGCTAAAATCTCCCCCACAACCCGCGGCCGAAAAGACGAAACTGCCCCTTGACTTTCCCCAAAGGTTGACGCGGACGTCGTCATGGGGAAAGCTGGTCCGCCTCTCACCTACTCCCGCATGGACCAAAACGCCCCCTGTACACGTATACGTATGGTCAACCGTATGCGCATCTTGGCATGAGGTTTTTCCACGCATCGGAGGGTCGGGATCGATTGATCTGGTCAATAACCTTTTGCGATCCGGGTGGTAAGAGACATGCAAAATGTGATACCATGTACTCATTCGTGACATTGTTCTGTTCTTCTTTTTTTCCATTATTTTATTGAACTTCTAGAAGCTAAAGCACCGCAGACGGACGTACCAAAATTTAGAGGAAAATTTAAACTAATGTGCCCACTTATGTTATAATTAATCATTGTGACTCGTCATTAAAAGACAAGGATAGATTTGAGGAAATGTATTTGTTATGACCACGTCCACGGTGATCATTGATTGTTAAGAGCATTTGCCTCCATGGACGGTGTGCACAAACCCTAATTTAATTGGGTTTCAATGATATGAGAGAAGCTAGAAATTTGTTGACTTGAATTTGTCTTCGGTGAGAGCCTTGAACCGCAAAATTCTTGCCTTCGAGTGATGTATGTGTGTCTGAGGGGAACAATCGGGCCAATCCAGTCTGGGGACCCAAATCGAGATCGGTTCCCGGGCAAAAGATTTGGGAACCGGTTCGATTCACGATTCTTGGCCTTGAACCAATTTTGAACGTGGTTCAGGGCCGATTCATGGGTATATCCGGTTCAAAACCAAAACCTTATGAGTCATAATTGAGAACATAAGCATGCCATTATGGTGTCCTGATAGAGAACTTTTGCAAAAATAATGTACAAGATAGAACAATCAAATAAAAAAAATGAAACATGAAAAAAAAAAAAGTAAATCGGTTCTGAAATGAGCTCAGAACACCAGCTGGTTCGGTCTTAAAGTCGATCAGTTTGATTCTCGATTTCAAAAATTGACAACCAGCTCTAATGAGGTATGGAACCTACCCATCCTAAAACCGATCACCTCTATACATGTCTACCACTTCCAATCCTTTATTAATTCATGGAAATGACTTGTTGGATTTATTCATTCTAAACGTCATGGACTAGAGGCAACAAAAAAATTATGCAAACCCCACACCAATTTGACACCTTCTAATATTTTTTCTACCTAATAAAAGCTGATGCAGTCAAGAGGTTCAATGTAGTCTCTAGCAAGTTTCAGGGACTAGTCTTGAATGTACCACCGGTCCACTTGGTTCCCAAAATTTGAAAAGAAATACCAATACCAAGCTTCTGATCCAGATTTTCATAGATCCTCCCCACAAAGTCAAGGGGAGGGCAGGACAGTCTTTTGCCCCTTGAACCAACTATGTGGACTTATCACCAATTACTCTTTCGTACACCAATAAACTAAAACCCCTCTCCTACATAAACATATGCAGTACAGTGGAAGAATTCCATGTGGTGTGTGTGGAACATTTAGACTATAAATATAAAACCCATTCACTCTGCCAGACACCCTAGTTGTAACCTTTTTCTTCTACCTCCTCTTCTTTCTTGAACTTTATGTCTGCAATTGGACTGGAGAGCAGTTGGTGATTTGAGAATCATTAGCCCCCAATCTGTCTCTCTGCCTTTAGAAAGTCCCACCAACCATCTTGTGATCTGCAACACCCAGATCTCTTATATCTGACCTCTCATTCTTTGTCAGTTCTTCCATATCTTGACAAGAAAGATTAGGGATGATTGCTTAGTGTTTACATCCAAGAAGTGCTAGTTTTGAGGTTTTCTGGATCGGTTCAATCACCAGCTTTTCTGCAAATGGCTGTGAAGAAGATCTCATGGGGGTGTATGGTCCCGGGCTGTTGCAAAACAAAGGAAGAAACCAAGGAGTGCAAGCCCAAGAAGGAGGTAACAAAGCAGAACTCATTCCAGAGGCTCTATCTATTGGATTTGAGCAACCCCAGTTCGACAACGCTCTCAGAGGACCTCTCGATATCGCTCGCCGGATCAAATCTCTATGTGTTCACCCTCCAGGAGCTGAAGCTGATCACGCAGAGCTTCTCGTCGGGCAACTTCCTCGGGGAAGGCGGGTTTGGGCCCGTGCACAAGGGATTCATCGACGACAAGCTGAGGCCGGGACTGAAGGCGCAGCCCGTGGCCGTCAAGCTCTTGGATTTGGAAGGGTTGCAGGGTCATAGGGAGTGGTTGGTATGTCCAAAGACCTTACTGTCATCCGGACAAAGCAGGAGATGTTTTCCTTACAAATGATGTGATTTTAATGATTTTGATTCGTTCTTATCCACAGACAGAAGTGATCTTTCTTGGGCAATTGAGGCATCCTCATCTGGTGAAGCTGATTGGTTATTGCTGTGAAGACGAACATAGACTTCTGGTCTATGAATACATGCCTAGAGGGAGCTTAGAAAACCAATTATTCAGAAGTATGTATTTGATCAATTCACAGAGTCTAACAATATTCTCTCACTTGTAACTTATAAGGAAACTAATGCATTGGTATCGGTTTTCAGGGTATGCGGCAACGTTACCGTGGTCTGCAAGAATGAAAATAGCGCTTGGCGCGGCAAAGGGTCTGGCGTTCCTGCACGAAGGAGAGAACCCGGTCATTTATAGAGATTTCAAGGCATCGAACATATTGTTAGACTCTGTGAGCATCTATTCAATGTCCTATTTGTCTTCTTATCCCCAACTTGTGTTTTCCTTGGAATTGAATTATACTGTCGCTTTGTTTCTTATTGATTTTTGCAAATTTTATGCAGGATTATACGGCAAAGCTCTCAGATTTTGGGTTGGCAAAAGATGGTCCAGAAGGTGATGACACACATGTCTCAACCAGAGTGATGGGGACACAAGGCTATGCTGCCCCTGAATACATCATGACTGGTAATTGTTTTTTTTCTGTAAGATTACCCAAAAAAAGTTTTTTTTTTTTGGGTAAGGTAGAAAAAGCTTACCCGAAAAAAGTTTTTTTTTTTTTTTGATGACCCAGGGAACCCCCGCACGGCCGACAGCCGGGAACCCGAAAAAAGTTCAACTCTTTTTTTTTTCCTAAAAAGCGCATTAGTTCATAACTTCGAGCCATGCAGTGAGCGAACTTTCAATTAATTTATGTCTTGAGCTTATGTTACCTCATGTGTAAGGAATTCATGATTTCCGGCACGTCAATAGGGCTGCGATGACAAGTTTGCACACCTATAGACTAAGCAATTCAGTTTAAACCAAACATTTCGTGGTGGGTATAAAATCTATATGATACGTCCGATAGGGATAGTTATTTTTTATCACCCCTCCCACCCTTTTAAGTATATAAAGAAAAACACGACATGCGTTACATCATTATAAACATCATATGTTATACATCACTAAAGTCAAATTTGTGCCCATTTACCTTTTAGGCCATTTGACGGCGTTGAGCGACGTCTATAGTTTCGGTGTGGTGCTCCTGGAGCTCTTGACCGGAAGGAAGTCCGTGGACAAGAACCGCCCGCACCGGGAGCAAAACCTTGCGGAGTGGGCCCGGCCCATGCTAAACGACCCCAAGAGGCTTGCACGGGTGATGGACCTGAGGCTCGAGGGGCAATACTCCGAGAGCGGGGCGCGGAAGGCGGCCGCGCTGGCCTACCAGTGCCTGAGCCACAGGCCCAAGATGAGGCCAACCATGAGCACAGTGGTCAAGACCTTGGAGCCGCTCAAGGACTTTGATGACATCCCAATTGGGCCATTTGTCTACACTGTCCCAGTGGAGATTGATTCATTGCAGAAAGAAGAAAGGAAAGAGAAGGAAGTGAAGAGAAGGAATGGGCATCGTCACCACAACCATCAACTTCACCATGTCCACAGGCGCCATCACCATCACCAAGATGTTAGGTCTCCAAATAAGTCTCCAATTCACCCTGATTCTGCTCATAGACACAACCAAAGGAATGGATTGAATTCTCCCTTGAGAAACTGTTGAAGTTCAACGTAAATAAAAAAATGAAATCTATCGCGGTTGGACATAGATTTGCCAAATAGTGTCCATTATAGGGTCAAGTGCAAGGTGTAAACTCTTGCAAGTTAGGACAAGAAGGCTGCTTTTCTCTTTTCTTTTTTGTCTTTCGGATAGTTGACGAGTACCTAGAGGACACTATTGTATTTTGAAAATGTAAAAAGTGCTTTTCTTTTACACGTAACTCTTTTCTCTTTAAGCGTCACAGGAGCCCCTGTTTTTCTATGATTTGGGTACTCGAGGGAAACATGTATAACTCGATCAACTTATGTGTCCATAGAAAATGCCATTTGAATTTCATGTAATCATTGAACCTATACCTTAGTTTAAATGAAATAAAAAGAATCGTTGAAAGTTGGGTAACCACCGACTTTATGTATTGACTCCTTATAAAAATGAAAACGCTCAAGATTGTCAAGAAGACAGCTAAGCAATTTGAACACATGTTGTGACATATTTTACAAGCGACAGACTACCTCCTCCCTTTCCCGAAATAATATTATCATTATCATATTCTTGATTATACAATTGTATTTTTTTTTTTTTGGTTTGAAGTGATTTGGGGACTATCTTCCTCGGAAAATAATAATTATTACTTAATGCTAAGATATATTCTTGGTGGCACGATTCCCTATAATTTACACGTCCGTGCTGAGATCATCAAGTAAGGAGAGAGATGATTACAAGAATAGAATATGCTGAAGAAATCAATCTCAAAGTCAAATTTGGAAAGCCTCTCGCGATCATGGAGGAATCTTAGTAGTGCGTGTTCCTCCGTATAGACCAATAATTTGAGGGCCTTTTTGGTTCCCATCAAGATTTTTCTTTTTTGTCGTGTGCAGAAAAATTAGCGATTTCAAACATGATAGGAAGATTAACGAACAGATTTAGCAAAAGGAAGGACTAATTAATTGGTCGAGGGGATAGATGTGATGGTTGAATTAGCCGACATGTTTTATTTCAATTTCTCAAAAGCAGACAAGCGCGGAATAATAGGACTCATTTTCCATGAGATTCGGGTGGAAAAAATTGTTTCCGCTGGATCACAATTTCGATGCTATAGTCAGAATTAAGCGGCTCGAAGCTTTGATCAAAAGGGAGATTGGTAATATAGTCATGCATGTGCAAATTAGCAACATCATAGCGCTCTACTCAGAGATCTTAAACGAATTATGAATGAAAGAAGGCGAGACATCGCACTATTGCTTATAAACTACAACAAGCTGAAGAGTTGATGAACTTAACATTATTGGAGATGACTCATAAAATGTTTTATAATGTCGTATGAGTAGAAAATTCCTGGTGGGTGCGTCTGGTACAACGAATTACCAGATGAATAAGTCCTTATCGATTGCGATCTCGGATATGCAAATCGCAAGAAGTATGGTCAAGTAACGTTGTTGATTATTTATGTCATCATGGTAAGTTCAATGGGAGAGTAAGAAAGTGCATATTTTAAGGCTATGCATAAGATGAACGAGGCTATTGAACGTAGTGCACTGAATGAAATTCACATGTTGTCAGTAGAGAAATTACATTTGATGAGACCCCAATAATTCTCGATAGGAGTGATTATTATCAGTAGCGACACGGATGGTGGTTGTAACAAGGTGGAGTTTATAGAGCCAACGATTGTTGTAGTTGTACGTATGCAATGGTGATTTTGCTTTATCTGTGGTTAAATAGGTTATGTTGGAAAATCCTTGTGGAGTAATTAAAGGCACGGGTAGAGTTGATGTTTTAACGAGGTCCACAGTTATGGTGAAATTCAAGTGCATTTTGATCTTGGAAAATGTTTGTGGTGGCTGAGCTCACGAGGGCCGGCCTGTGGAAGAATAGAGGTGATCATATTACAAAGAAATAATTGTGAATTGGCTCCAACATCAAGTCAAAGTTGAGATTATTTAAAATATGTCTCGAGTTTGAGCCCGTAAATGCCGATCCAAGTAGGCTTCCTAATTTTAATAGTTTTTATAAAATTGGGTTTCCTATTTTGTATACAAATCTTTTCTATATAAGAAGTGAATCTTCTTCATGAATTGCATTCAGGAGGAGCTTTTGATGTTCAAGCCAATAAATCTTGCGGTATGGTTTGTGAGTTCATTTGTGAGATTGAGATATTGTTTTGCGAGATATTGTGGGGGTAAACACTATGTCATTTATTGGATGTAACGAGGAAATGGAAAATGCTGAGAGTATTTGAGTGACTTTAATAAAATTATAATTTTTTTTTGTATTGCTTAATCTACAGTGGTCCCGCTCTGCTCTCACGTGGAGTAAATGCCACCAACCAAACCACTTAAATTCGGTTTCAAATCTATTTCCTTGTTCTTATTTATTTTATTGTTCGATTGCTTATTTTTTCGCAATATGAAAATTTAGTCATGCGTGTTTCCCCACACAATCTAGTAACTCGAGGGCTTTTTTTGTTCCTTATCATAAAAAAATTAATTTCAAAGTTTAAGATTTTTTTTTTGTCTTGTGCAAAACGGTTAGCGATCTCAAACATGATAAAAAGACTAATTTGAAAATTTAGCAAAGGACTAATTGGTCGAGGGAATAGATATGATGGTTGAATTAGGCAACATGTTTTTTATTTAAATTTCTCGAAAGCAAATAAACGCGCAATAATAGGACCCACTTTCTATGCCTTCTTTTCGTCCAAAATTATAAGACGTGGAAAAAATTGTGGGTACGTCAGATGGAGCTTTTACTTTTTGAGTTTTTATATTTTAATATATGATATTTTAGTTAAAAATGAATATCTCGAATCTTTAGGTCTGCTTATTGAGACATATCTAAGGTGGCCTCGGTTTTCTTTATCCTCAAAAATCGATTTTTAATGGGAAAATCATAAAGTGGCGTTGTTTCGATAGGCTTTGATAATAAATAACGCGGAAGAGAAAATTATTTAAATTTTGTATATTCGATAAAATCTTATACAAAGTACACGAGCCTATTTACTTTATCAGACAACTATTTAGGTAACGTATCAATCACTGATATGAACGATCAAAAGAAAATACAAAGATTTTTCAAGGGAAATATCTCAAACATCTTTTGGAAATATCAAAATTATCTAGGTGACTTGGAAGAAGTTAACTTGAGTTTGGATAAAAAGTCGGAAAAAGCCTGGGTGGATTGCCAAAGCGGTTCGCTATGGCGAAGAGAGAACTGGTTGACATTAACGTGGCCGTTATGTGTTGTCATGGCTGTTGTGCAGGCTTCATGGCAAGAGACTGTCATTGGGATAGGAAGCTATCATCGTGGCAGGGCAGGAGGTTGCATCACATAGGAGGTTACCGTCGTGGCAAGGGATTGCCATCGCATCGGAGATAGACAATGTTGGGGATCGACTTCAGAGAGGGAAATTACTAGTTATTGAAAAAGAAAGAAGACGAGATAAAAAAAAAGTTTACTCCAGATGCATCGAGTTCACAAGTGCACCTCAATATCGTCTACCTGTAATCCCAAGATAAGAATAATGCTGAAATATCCTAAATATCTCTAATAAGCTTGTTAGGGGAAAATGTACCAAAAAAGTCCTAAACATATTACATTGGGACCAATTCAGTCATAAACCTTTTAATTAGACCAATTCAGTCCTAACATTTTCACATTGGAACCAATTTAGTCTAGCTGACCAATTTAGGCCGAAATCGCTAACGTGGACGCCGGCTGTCCTACTGGCATGACCAGAGTAGCCGGCCCTAGCCATGATGGCCTCGTCCAGGGCCATTGCAGCCCCACCGTCTCTAGACGATTGGCCCTCACCTAGATCTGGCGAGGGCTTGTTGGTCCTCGTCGACAAAAATGAAGAAAAAAAAGAAAGAAAAAAGAAAAGAAAAAAATTATAGAAAATTCAAAAAATATTATTAAAAATGTTCACGTCAGCACTGGCCATACCATATAGGACGGTCAGCATCCAGCCTAAATTGGCCAGATGGACTGAATTGATATCAATGTGAAAAGATTTAGGACTAAATTGGTGCCAATGTAACAAGTTTAGAGTTTTTTCGGTACTTTTCTTGCTTATTGGGGGACACTAAACCATCTTATAATTGATGCTTAATTTTCTATGAAAATGATTATGATATTTTATCTATAAAAAATGACAATAAAAAATTGAGCTCTAACTTGTACACTTTTAAGAAAAAAGGTATTTAGGGTTACAAAATCACATATCTTATATTAAAAGCAAAAGCCAAAATTCCAATAAGATATCTCCGAGAAAAGGATACCACAAATGCCATAATTTTCATACAGTCCTTATTTGAGTGCCATAACTTTCTTTCGATCATTTGAGTATGTTGCTTATGGCGCTCACTTGAGGGCCATAACTTTTTTTTCAATCACTTGAGTGCTATATAAATTTTCAATCGATTATTTAAGTGTCATAATTTTCGAAAAACGTCAACTACAAGTATCATACCATGTCGAATTTTCGGCACTTAGATGAACGTTTTTAAAAGGTTATGGTACTTAAGTGATCAATTAAAAATTATGACACTCAAGCGAATGATTTTTAGAAGTTGTAACACTCAAATCATTAAAAAAAAAATTATGACATTCGCGGTGTCCTTATTTTAGATATGTCATGTCTACCGCTTCAGGAAGAGGGGAAACAAACAAGGCCGTAATATAAAAAGCCCACCCATCAAATTTCACAATCACTTGTCATGTCGGAACCCCGAAAAGGGATACGAAAATTAATAAGTAGTAACCATGCACCACGACCGACCTAGTGTACATCATAAGGACAGATTTAAGCTAAATTAGGCAAATGCTATTTTTCGCACAAGAGGCAATTTACAAGTCTAGTCGTTTATGGGAATCTCGCAATGCATCAATTATCCACGCATTCATGAATGTACTTCCTCTCAAGAGCCAACTTCTCTTTCATCTATTCATGACTTTCCTTCCACCTAACTATGTAAGGAAGGAATGGAGGCTGCAACTAAATCCGCCTTGAAGTTCGTTGAGATCGCCATCTTGGTGTTCCTGGCTTCCATGATCGAAAGGCGCCGAGGCGATGCCAATGTGATGCGCGCGCGATGAATATTGTGGCCACCATGCTCGGAAGGATGTCCTTGGATATGAAATGGGACTTCATACGATCCGAAGGTTCCGGCTTAGGATATTGCTTTATGAGGTTAGCTCTATATGCTCTTTATATATTGATCTATTGGTTCATGAGCA